CACAGCCATGGCAGGTTGGAGAGCATGCTTGGTATAAAGAGCCTGCGGTAGCATGGGTTCATCTTCTGGCGTAGGTTGAGTTTCTGGGATTCAAAATGCATTTGTGGTGATTATGCTATAGTTTGCTGGGCTCTTTAAGGTTTTTCGCTGGGTTTTAGGGGCTGCTCTGATTGCCAGCATTCCTCCTTTGGCTAACCTAACATATCTTAGAGCAGTATTCTAGAAGAGGAAGCATATGATGGTCCATAATTCCTTGTCTGGATCTCCTGTGACAAGTTAATTCCTACTGTGCAGGGGCAGCTATCAGTTTAGGTGATATGGGTTCAAGTTAGGTAGCATGGGCCAGGGCTGGAGCAGAAGTGAAGAGAGTTTTTAGTTGGGGAGAGGTCGTAACAGTGGCCCAGAAGCTGAATGAATCTCTTTCCTTTCTTCAGGAGCTTGGAGGTGAACTTATTTGGGGTTTTAGGACTGAACTACTGATAGCCTAGGTTTCAATTTGGAGGTGATCTCAATGAGGGATTCATTCCTTAACTCCACCCTCCCACCTCTCACACATACATAGACTTCTCTACCTTGAATAGGGATCCCAAATGCCCAAGGCTTTTTCTTATTTTGGTACTTTACACACCATGCAGTTGTGGCCCACTTTTATGTCAGTTCAGATAGATTGTGAGTTTTTTAAGAACTGAGATGCTGTCATTCATCACTTTATCCTTAACACCTGGCATTATGTGGCATTATGGTGGTATAGGTGCTCCCTAAATGTTGGCTGAATAAATGAATGAACTCACATTTCAATACCAGATGATAACCTTGTCTGGCATCATACAGGTTTCTTATCAGGATGGAATGTGATCAAGAATTTCACTTCCTTGTCTTTGAATACGTATTTTGGATTTGCCTTTAAGATGATAATAGTCTATTAGTTCCAGCTCATCTGGAAGTGGGTCTGTATGAGCTTAAGCCTGGTGCATGGATGGAGAGATCACACATGCATGAGCCTCTAAGATGATAATAGTCTATTAGTTTAGCTTATCTAGAAGTGGATCTTTATGAGCTTAGGCCTGGTACATAGATGGGTAGATCACACACATCTACATCTATGCATTAGAAAATTTCCAAGGTTTACTTAATTAGATGCTGTAGGCTCTCAGCACTGGCTGAGTAATACTAAAAGGCCAGGGGATTGGGAGGTGAGCTGCTGTTTATCACACTTCTGATATACTTTTTGATGAGCACCAAAGATCTGATGTTGTAACATCTTGAGCTCCATAGAATTGATCCAGGAGTTCTGGAGTTACTATGAGAAAGTAGAGATCTTCATTAGTCTGTTATTGTAGCTGTGCTTTAGGGACACAGACAGACCTGTCTTTTCTCAGGGTGACATCTCCTGTGGAAGGAGAAGAGAATTGTCTGATCTCTGTTAAGTTAGTGAGTATAAGAGTACTTGTGGAGAACCAAACTTTACCTACAAAAAGTATTTTGTTTTAACAAGTAGGGACTCCAGATATCCTGATCATAACATCTGATCTTTTAATCAAATCTTTTACCTTCTTGTCTGAAAACTATGATATGATATGACCATTCGTTGACGATTCCAGGAATGGGAGGGACTGGTAAAGCCGATTCTGCCACTAGTCAGGAATTGTAGCAGGGTAGGAAAGGGTGTAGCTTCTACACAAATATCATCATTGTAGGTGTTCATCTGGGAGAAGTAGGAGCCAAGGGGAAGAATGGGTCTCACGTGACACCACTGGTGAGGGTGGGCTGTGCTGCATAGCTCAGTGGTGCCAGGGTCTCAGGCCACAAATACCTGCTATGTCCGCTAGCCCAGAGTCAAATGCTTCTGTGACTGCTATGCCAGACCTTGACCTGCAAAGCTCTCTAATGGCCCCTTGTTGAGCACAGTTCACTCTGAGAAAGCTGTCTGTTACCTAGCAGTTCTTTGTGTGCAAGATATGCTACCCAGGTGGTTAGGGCTAAATCTGAACCTGTGTCCTTCCTGGAGGTATAAGGGATTCCAAATACTTCTCCCAAAAGCAGATCTTGTTGCTCTTTCAGTTATGGAGTGTGAGGTCAGGACTTAGGTGGACATGAGGCAGTGATTTAAGGCAGAAAGCTTGGAGTGGACTCTGGGCAAATACATGACAACATGTTCTTTTTTTTTTATTCAATAGAGATTACTCCTTATGTTCTTTTCTTAGACTTGCTTCATGGGCGACCACAATGATAGGTAGAAGGCCTGGCTACTTTGAAGGGGCCAGGGATGGGTCACAGAAAAGGCACGTTGATAGTATTAATGGAGGGTTAGAAAGTAGCCCACAGTTTTGTCATCTATATTCTTCCTACTGCTTTTTGAAATGTGGGAAGCTGGTTGTAGTAACTACTTAGATTTTTCAACCTAGGTCTTTTTTTTTTTTTTTTTCACAAGCTGCTTCTTCTCTTGTCTACTTTTCTATTTATTTTATCCCTGTTTCTTTTATATATGAGTTCATATCAGAAGAGATTAAGTGATTTTGGATTGTATTTTAGATAAGTTTTATTCTATGACTTAACATTTAATATGTTATTTGTACTAGAGAATGAGTTGCTGAGCGATTTTTACTTGTATTCCTGACAAAGTTTGCCTCTTAGCTATTTAAAGGTATGAGGCTTTAAAAATTTGGGCCAAATGGGAAACCATGTGGCTGTTTAGTAAACATTATTAATGGAGGTGACAGTTTTCAGTCACTGGATTTAATTTGAACCATTTATCTTTGAGCCCCAGTTTTTTTTTTTTTTTTTTTAGGAAATAAAAATGATAAACTTTTTTTTTTTTTTTTTCAGTTCAGAAAAATCAACAAGGTTGTGGTTCTTGATGAGGGGATCCTGGAGAATGGAGCAATGTCTTTTTTTTGTTTTTCTAACTTATTTCTGTGGTCTCTTGTGTCTTATTTAAAAGGTGGCATTTAGGTTTGCCGTGATCACAAGATAGCTTGTGCATTACAGGATGTTTTCTTGTGATCAAGTTGAATTCTGGTTCAAAGTTTAGAAAAATTATAATGTGTCTTTTTTTTTTTTTTTTAACCTCTTAGTGCCACAGAATGGAATTCGGCATTGTTCCTATACAGCTTCTCGGAAACATCTCTACGTTGATAAAAACACAAAGATTATTTGCCAGGGTTTCACTGGCAAACAGGTATGTGTATCTAGATTTTTGTTTTCAAATGTAGACTAGAGATATAACAAATGAACTACTTTTTTATTTTTAATATCACAAAAATAATGTATCAGATTGTTGCAGAAAAATATACTGTACAGCAATGGGGTTGTATGTCAGGAGGAGGTTAGTTGCTATTGTCAGCCTATAACATAAAAATTGTATTTAAACTTACTTTGCGAAGGAGTATATTGCATGCTTACTAGGACTATATTGTATTGGAGGCCCACATACTTTCTTTCAGCAAATATGACACTTGGTTTTCCTATAACGTTGAAACAGATTACTGTTTCTTTGATTGAGCACTAGGTAAACTAGATTCTTGTGTTAGGTTTTGTACAGACAAACAAACAAAAAATCATATTGTTAAATACAGAATCCGTATTCAGTGTGGAGAAATGCTCAAACCCACAGAGTCTCTTGGATAGTGAGACAAGCAGAAGAACCAGACCACTGACTTTTCCCAACTTATACTCTCTCTGGGACCATGATTGGGACTACCAGGCAAAACTCCCTGAAGTGTTTTAATTTATTCTCATTTGTTTATATTCATTGTCTCATCCTCTTTCCTGTTCACATCATAGATTTTGTATAAGTGAAAATATATCTGTGATGTGATTCTGTAATAAAATACCACCTAAGAATCTCCTTTCCATTTTCCTACCTTTCTACTCCCCAGGAATTCCTTCTGTTAATAAATTGGCATGTATCCTTTCAGATATTTTTCTTGTGCATACAAACGTATTTATATAATATGTATTTTGTAGTGTTTATTATACAGAACTGTACTTATGTAATGTTATCTAGCATATAATATATATGATGTATATATCTATAAAATAGATACCTAAAAGTAAAATTGGATGTCATATGGTCTGTGTATTTAAAATTTTCATAGCTAAATTGAACTTTAAAACGTTGGAGCAGATTTATACTTCCACCATAGCAGATGTGCAGAATTTTTTAAAATGAGGAAGTACTACCAAATCAATTAGAGTATAATCACTATACTCTTAAGTGTCTTAACCCAAAGTATCCCTTTCTTTATTATTAAAGGAGATATGGCAAGATAAAAGCAGTCAATAATTATTTTATAATTTAAGTTTAATGATTTTTCTGTAATTAAAAGAATTGTCAAGTCAATTCTTCAGTGTTTTGGTAATCTAGAGCAGAGGTGACTAAACTTATTCTGCAAAAGGCCAGTTTGTAAACATTTTAGGTTTAGTGGGTCATACAATCTCTGTTACAGCTACTAAAAAGTGTTATAATAGCAAAAGCAGCCATAGAAAATAATGTCAATAAATGGGCCTGGGTGTGTTCCAATAAAACTTAATATACAAACCAGGTAGTGGGCCAAATCCTGTAGACTGCAGTTAGCAGGTTGTTTCATATAAAATGGTTCTTTTGCTTTTTTACTTTTTTTCTGAAATAACTGAGCACACAAATGTGTTGCAGTGGACTTTTCTTCTTTTTCTTCCTCCATTCCTCTATAACCTTAAAATAAAATCTACCAGGCCGGGCGTGGTGGCTCAAGCCTGTAATCCCAGCACTGTGGGAGGCTGAGGCGGGTGGATCACGAGGTCAAGAGATCGAGACCATCCTGGTCAACATGGTGAAACCCCGTCTCTACTAAAAATACAAAAAATTAGCTGGGCATGGTGGCGCGTGCCTGTAATCCCAGCGACTCAGGAGGCTGGGGCAGGAGAATTGCCTGAACCCGGGAGGCGGAGGTTGCGGTGAGCCGAGATCGCGCCATTGCACTCCAGCCTGGGTAACAAGAGCGAAACTTTGTCTCAAAAAAAAAAAAAAAAAAAAAAAATCTACCAATAACAAAAAATGAAGTACCCACTAAACCCTGAAATTTTGTTCCTGCTAAAAATGGCTGGGTGTGGTGGCCCACACCTGTAATCCTAGCACTTTGTGGGGCCAGAGCAGCAGGAATGCTTGAACCCAGGAGTTTGAGACCAGCCTGGGCAATATGGTGAGACCCCATCTCTAAAAAAAAAAAAAAAATAGAAAAATTAGCTGGGTATGGTGGCGCATGCCTGTGGTTCCAGCTATTCTGGAGGCTAAGGTGGAAGGAACACTTGAGTCGAGAAGGTTGAGGGAGCAGTAAATCATGATTGAACCACTTAACACCAGCTGGGATGACAGAGTGAGACCCTGCCTCAAGAAAAAAAGGTTTATTCTGATAGCCAAATGTCTTATGTGTATGTCATTTCCGTTATATACATTCTAAGGAAAGAAGATCTTCATCCAAGATTTGAAATGTGTTCTATCATCCCCTTCTCAATTGATGTTATATTCAGCCTGTTTTTTGTTATATATTATTAGCATATAATCAGAAGATGTTTGATTAACCCAAATTCCCCATGTAAATTTATTATATATAATTTTGTTTTTCTGTTTGCAAAATATTATATGATCCTGTGACATTTTAAGCTGTGGGCCTTTTTATAAGAACCATTGCCCATGGTGTAAGCACTATTGAGAACTGTCTCCATAATCTAAATTAGGTGATGGTTTGCCTAAATATTTAAATCAAGGGTAGTTTTAGTGTTTTTCAGTTACTTGCATTTGCATTGTTTCTCATTCACTATCCTTGTTTTTGTTTTTAAAGTAAGTGAGTGTTAATTTCCTCAGTTAGGTTTGTTGATTCAGATTCATTATAGACTTAATGATGAGGGCTGAAATTTATAGCTTACTTCCACAGTAAATCTGCATATTGTCTTTTTAGTTTGTTTTCTCTGTACACACATTGTTCTGCATAACGAATGAAAAATCCTTGTATTTTAGGGTAGGTTTCAGCAATGCAGATTTCCATTGGGTGCCATGTTGTTTCTTACACTGGCTTTATAAGCTGCTAAAATTATTCCTATTCCTAATTGTATACTAGCTGGTGATAATGGTAAAACTAAGGAAAATAAGCTAACTTTGAATAGATGTGTTATTCCTGTTTAGCACTACTTTATGATTAAAATTTGGTGCTTTTGAATTTACCTGGCAGTGTAGTCTAGGGCAGTGCTTTTTAGTGTCTATAGCAAAAAACCCATGTGGGTGTTTGTTTTTAATTTTCAGTCTAATATAGATCAGTACTTTTATAAAGTACAATAAAAGCTTTAGTAATGTCATGCTGCTATATTTGCAAACATTTTTACTTTTTTTAAAATTAGATTCCCCTCCCTTCCTTCCTTCCTTTTTTTTTTTTTTTTTTTTTTTTTTTTTTTTTCCTCTTACCTCATTGCAGAGCAGCAAGAGTCTGCATACTGTACTTTGAATAGCACTGTTTTAAGAGAGCGAACACTGGCCTGTGGTTCTCCCAAAACTCTGCCCCTGACTTTAGACAGATTAATTAACATGCTTGGGGCCAAGTTTCCTATTTTGAAATATAATTTCAATCAGAAAATTTCTGAAGTCCTTCTTAAGGCCCTACTTTTTATTCCATTAGTAGAATGTCAGTAGTTGGGACCACATTTTGAATGACCACATAGATTCATTCATTTTTCAACAACTATTTATTGAGTGCCTACTGTATGTTGATTTAGGTGTCATATTGCAATGAACAAAGTACACATAAATCACTATCTTCATGGAATTTACATTTTAGTGGTTGGGGGGAAATGTATCAACAAAATCAATGAGTAGATTATGTGGTATGTTAGAGAGTACAATTGCTCTGGAAGAAATAAGCCAGGGAGATAGTTGGGCAGTTCTTGCCGGAAGTGGAGAGTGGCTGATCAAAGTCCAGAGGTGGTACATTATGGCTGACATGCAAAATCTGGTAGAAAGATTGGAGAGGGCAGTGGGCCACCTGGAGGCAGTATCCCATACCTCTGACATGCACTGTGGGTATGGAGACAGTCCTTCAAAAGCAGGAGCAGCTCCCTATATGCAGGCATTTGACTCACTGCTTGCCAGTCCTGTGACAGAGTACTTGAAGATCAGTAAAGAGATTGGGGGAGACATGCAGAAACATGCGGAGATGGTCCATACAGGTTTGAAGTTGGAGCGAGCTCTCTTGGTTACAGCTTCTCATTGTCAACACCCAGCAGATAGCAAGCTTTCCGATTTGTTGGCACCCATCTCAGAGCAGATCAAAGAAGTGATAACCTTTCGGGAGAAGAACCGAGGGAGCAAGTTGTTTAATCACCTGTCAGCTGTCAGCGAAAGCATCCAGGCCCTGGGCTGGGTGGCTGTGGCTCCCAAGCCTGGCCCTTATGTGAAAGCATGAATGATGCTGCCATGTTTTATATAAACTGAGTCCTCAAAGAGTACAAAGATGTGGATAAGAAGCATGTAGACTGGGTCAGAGCTTAAGTATATGGACAGGGCTGCAGGCTTACATTAAGGAGTTCCATACCACCAGACTGGCATGGAACAAAACGGGGCCTGTGGCAGAAGAACTGAGTGGACTGCCTTCTGGACCCTCTGCTGGATCAGATCCTCCTTCCCCTCCACCAGGCCCCCCTCCTCCGCCAGTCTCTACCAGTTCAGGCTCAGATGAGTCTGCTTCCCGCTCAGCACTGTTTGCGCAGATTAATCGGGGAGAGCATCACACATGCCCTGAAACACATGTTTGATGACATAAAGACTCACAGGAACCCTGCCTTGAAGGCTGAGTGGTCCAGTACACAGTGGCCCAAGCCATTCTCTGCACCTAAACCCCAAAACAACCCATCCCCCAAACCAGCCATAAAGAAAGAGCCAGGTGTACTTGAACTGGAGGGCAAGAAGTGGAGAGTGGAAAATCAGGAAAATGTTTCCAACCTGTTGATTGATGACACAAAGCTGAAATAGGTGGCTTACATTTACAAGTGTGTCAACACGACGTTGCAAATCAAGGGTGAAATTCACTCCATTGCAGTAGATAACTCTAAGAAACTTGGCCTGGTATTTGATGACATTGTGGAGATAATCAACAGTAGGGATGTCAAAGTTCAGGTAATGGGTAAAGTGACAAGCATTTCCATCAACAAAACAGATGGCTGCCATGCTTACCTGAGCAAAAATTCCCTGGATTGTGAAACAGTCACTGCTAAATCTTCTGAGAAGAACGTCCTCATTCCTACAGAAGGCAGTGGCTTTAATGAATTCCTAAGCAGTTCAAGACCCTATGGAATGGCAGAAGTTGGTCACCACAGTGACAGAAATTGCTGGATAAGTGAAGTGTCACTGGGTTCTTTGCCCTCCCTTCACACCATGGGATAAATCTGTATCAAGATGGTTCTTTTGTAGATTTTCTCTACCTTTCTGCTCTTAAAACTGCTTCTCTGCTCTGAGAAGCACAGCTACCTGCCTTCACTGAAATATACCTCAGGCTGAGATTTGGGGTGGGATAGCAGGTCAGTTGATCTTCCCGCAGGAAGGTACAGCGCTTCCATATCAGCTCAACCATGCCACCAGTCCATAAGGAACTGCCAACCAGGACAACATTTTAGCTTTGAGCTTTTGGGCATTATTCTACCAACAAACAGTCCATTGAGAAGAAAACAGTCCCAGGAATTAACAGATCAGAATGTTCACACTGGTTAATCTTTTTCTAACAATGAGCGTGAAGATAGTAGAAGCTGGTGTGTTTTCAGATGGTTCTTCTAACCAAACTAATTTTTTACTGTTGACAAGTGAGGCAAGGGTTGCACTGGACCAAAGGCCAAGGCTTAGCCATCCAGCATTCCACACAAAATTGTTCCCTATAAGCATTCCTTTTATTCCCTATTCCATCGTGGATCTGCCCCAACCATGCTGTGGCAGTGCCCTTCGTCCAGACCAGTTAAAGGAGTCTTGGACACTTTCTTTCTCTAGGATTCCTGCCCAGCAGTTAAAAGGAAAAAAAAAAAGAAAAAGAAAGAAAAAACACATCATTCCGAGAAGTCTGGCATTCCTGAATCCTCTTTGCCTGCTAGGTGCCTGTTACCTGTCTTCACTGTCTCCTTTTCCCTGTCATGCTCATCAGCTATGGCTTCTGTCCAAGCACTTGAACAGAGGACTAAAAACTCCATTGCAGGCTGGTTTTAGGTCTTGATTTATGTAAGAATCTTACACAGCACTGCTAATGTAAAGTTCAGGTTTTTCCCTCTAGGACAAACGCTTACCAAATGTGCAACTTTTTTTGGTGGAAAGAGAGATTGTCCTGTGATTTCTACCCATTTCCTGAGGCCTGTGGAAATAAACCTTTATGTACTTAAAGTTTAAAAAAAAAAAAAAAAAAGAAGCCAGGGAAAGGAGGAATGTGTGTAGTCCTGGTGGTTAGGATGGAGGAGAAGGAGATTTTATATCAGGTGGTCAGGGAAGGCCTGATCTCTGAGTTAAGATGTAAAGGAGACATGGGAGTGAACCAAGAGGATATTTTAGGGAAGGTTATTCCATGCAGAGGGCGCAATGAGGCATGAGGCAGGCATATGCCTGCTGTGTGTGGAAGCCACAAGGCCAGCATGGCTGGAGTGTAATGAGCAGGCAGGTATATGACTCTGGTGTGGGGAGACAGCTTGTAGATTAACTTGTAGACCAGTATATGGAGTTTGGCTTTTACTTGACTGAAATCTAAAACAATCAGAGTATTTGATTAGAGGAGTGCTGTGATCTTATGTTTTGACCAGATCACTCAGGCTGCTGTGGAGATTAGATTGAAGGGGAGCAAGACCAATAACCCGTCAAGGTTGAAGTGACTTAGACCAATGTAATAGCAGTAGAAGGGGAAGGAGTTGTCGATTATACTTTGAAGATAGAGCAGTAAGATCTACTAATGGATGTAATATGAGATATATGAGAAAGAGAAGAATTAAGGATGACCCATATTTTTGATGTGATGATCTATAAGGACTGAAGTTGTCTTTAAATGAGATGGGGTAGATGGAGGGGAATGATTGGGAACTCAGTTTTGGACATTGTAAGGTTTACTGCTGATGTAAAATGAGGAAATTGAGGCAAGTATGAGAAAATGAGAAGCCAATTTATTCAGCTCCCGGAGAGGTTCTGTGGTCCAGGAAGGGGCCAAAGAAGTTGTGCCAGGCTGTTTAGGTCATGGGGTTTTATCGGAAGGGAAGGCGATTGATTGGCTATTGGGGAAACAAAGCAAAGGCAATTTTATTGGCTGTCAGGAAACAGGAAGTGCCTGAAACTAGTTGCTATTGGTAGTCGGGTGGGGCTTTGGGTAAGGGGGTCTTGATTGGCTGTTGGGGAAACAAAGTGAAGGCAATCCTATTGGCTATTAAGAAGCAGGAAATGCCTGGAGCTAGTGGTTATGGGTAGGCGGGCGGGACCTTGGCTAAGTGGGCCTTCCAGGGACATACAGAGCAGACTGCTACTGGGCAGGGTCTGATGGGGCTTCCTTTAAAAAATTTTCCTGTAGGGTTTATCAACAGTGGGCTGGGGGTTGAATGCATAATTTAGTGCTAAATGTGGGCTTGGGTCTGGTATGCGGAGGTGGGTGCGGGGAAGCCATACGGCAAGGCCAGATAACGAGCTTGGGTGATGACGCAGCTATCAGGTGCGGAGAGAGATGGATGTGTCCGTTTAACCCTCTGTGAGGCAGCCGGCCTTACAGACATGTTGAGTTTGAGATGCTTGCTAGTTCTCAAAGTGGAGGTGTCAGGTAGGCAGTTGACAATGTGAGTATGGAGTTCAAGGCTTAGATAAGTGGGGTGTTTGTGTCTTTGGACGAAAAAGAGAAGTTAAGGAGAGAGAAAGAGAAGAGGAAAACCAGGGGAAGTAGAGCCCCAGAAGCCTAGTGAAAAAGAATCTTTCAATCCTTGGAGCTGTTTTTGATTGTCATAACTGGAGGGGGTTATGACAGTTAGGAGGGTGTGGTACTGGCATCTAATGAGTGGAGCCCAGGGATGCTGCTACATGTCCTACCAGGCACTGGATGACCTCTCATAAGAATGAATCATCCTTCCAAAATGTCAGTAATGCTGAGGTTGAGGAGTAAAAGTGAATGGATAAAGAAATACAGTTTGTTGACTGGGCAGTATTAAAGGCTTACTTAAGGTAAGTGATCATTAATTTAAAATGAGACCAGTTGACATGTTTTCTTTTCTTTTTCTTTTTTTCCTCTAGCCTCTTTTTGGCTGCACATGTCTAGGCTTAGAGTAGGGGGAAAATTGGATTTAACCCAGGTTGTGGTTTTGCCAGATGTTTAAGTTGAAGTGAGAGAAAGCCAAGGTGATTGTGGGAGGGTAATGATCTACCATGAATTTTAAACTGAGGAGTGTGAGCACATGAGGAGTTGAAAAACAGGGAGTTTTTGATCACTAGCCAAGTTTGAAAACAGGGAATCAAAGAGGCCCCTGTTTATAGCTATTTTGGCTTTTCAGGGGCTTGTTTTGCTTCAAGCTTCAAAGCTATGTTCAGTAAATAGATGGGGATGCTTCCTATAGTTACTGTCTGGGAATAGTTAACCTATTTGTTTTTCTTTTCCTAAGTTGGTAAGATTGCTTTTGCTTCTCTTGGGCTTTCCAGTCTGCTGTTTCTCATGGATCTTGTGCTTTTTCCCCTCAGGGCACCTTTCACAGCCAGCAGGCATTGGAGTATGGCACCAAACTTGTTGGAGGAACCACTCCAGGGAAAGGAGGCCAGACGCATCTGGGCTTACCAGTCTTTAACACTGTGAAGGAGGTAATTAATGCTACCTGAGTTTGGCAAGACAAGAAAAGCAAGAGAAGAGTGAGCATTCTTTGGGTAGAGATCTTAATTGTGTTTCTTTTGGGAGAGTCACTTGTTGTTTGAAAATTCAGTAACCTAGAGAAATTTGAATTGCCTTCAAAACCGGTGTGTCATTTGTGCTTCTAGGCATGCATCAGCCCTTAAGGGAAGAAGTGCTGTGGCCAGGCTTCTGTTTGTCTTTTTATCATTGCCTTACTTTTCTTCTTCCAGTATGTTAGTACAAATGTCAGCAACCACCCCCTAATTCTTCCTTAGTGGGGACTATGCAGCAGGCACTGTGCTAGGTGTTTCATTCCAATTGCCCCGTTCAGGCCTCACTACAACCCTTGGAGGTAGGTGCTGTTATCCTCCTCATTTTAAAGGTAACGATGAGGTTGAAGATCTTGCCCATGGTCTGACAGCTGATAAGTGGCAGGCTTAGGATGGCTCAGAATAAAGAGTGGTCCCATGTGAAGAAACTAAATTGTAGAGTTATATTTACAAATCACAGTGTCCTAAATTCTCAAATTACGGATTTCTTGTTAATACCTTTAAAAATTATTTTTGAATTAAACTTTAATTCTTTGTTACAAAACTGATATGTGCTTTTTGTAAAAATTCAGATGGTATAAAAGGTAAGTAAAGTTAAATTTTATAGTGTCTTCAACATCTCAGATTTTGCCTCTGTAGGGAGCTAACTTAAGCTTAGTGTGTAGTGTTTCACTCTCTTTTTACTCTTATATGAATATTTATAAAACCAATAGTATTTAAAAGAAACCGTAGTGTAAATTATTGGGTATTTAATTTTAAAAATCTAAGAAATAAACTTAGTTTTTTGGGATGATGTGTTGATCAGCCTTAAATGTTTTCTTTCCCTCTTCTTATGCATATTTTTAAGGTATATTTTAAAACATTACATTTTTTAAGGCATAAATTTAAAGCCCTTCCTGCCTTAAATTCTATTATGGCTGATTTTATAACTTCAAAATATAGAGAGGAGATGCTTTTTCACAATTCCTCTAGGTCGGCTTTTCTTTTGTCATGAGCCTTTTTTTGCTTTTTTTTTTTTTAAGAAAGCCTTGTTGCTAAGCAATCCATTTGTTATAGTGACAAAAATAGTTGTGGCATTTGGAATATTCCGTAAGTTTTTTTTTTTTGACAGATATTGTTTATTTCTTACCCATTCTGCTCTTACAAAGAGATTTTTGAATGAGTAGGGTTGTTACCTTTCATCCATATGATTTCCTAGCACGATATTTGCTGTTGTCACAGTCTAGCTTCTGGAAGTATTGTAGCCTTTAGAGGTAGAGAACAGTGTACTGTAGTTACTTTTCAGTAAAGTACCTCCATGCCCATGATTTGACTTCTTTTGATTCCGTAACAGTTTTAATATTTTTTTGTCTCCCCCTCTATTATCATCTTGAACAGAGTTTTAAAAAATTATTTTTAACCTCTGGCATCATTTGTGGATGATATGTTGGCGTCCTTTGACTCTGTTCACTGTCAGGATGCTTTTAGGTTTACTGACATGCCATAGTCTAAGAGAGTGAGATGTCACAGAAGCTTTCATTTCACAGTGGCATTCAAAGGGGGCTGAGAAAGGGCTATGCTTAATTCTACTCTACTCTGACAGTGTAGTGAATTTGAGAATGGGGAGAATGCTATGTCTTTGGGTAGTGTCCTTTTCGTTACCGCAAGACATTATTAAAATGATAGTATTGAATTTATTTTACAATGTTTATGATTTAACCAATAATAAAGTGCTTCATCGTTAATGTTTCAGGCCAAAGAACAGACAGGAGCAACGGCTTCTGTCATTTACGTTCCTCCGCCTTTTGCTGCGGCTGCTGTTAATGAAGCTATTGATGCGGAAATTCCCTTGGTTGTGTGTATCACTGAAGGTATCCCACAGCAGGACATGGTGCGAGTTAAGCACAAATTGCTGCACCAGGGAAAGACAAGGCTAATTGGGCCCAACTGCCCTGGAGTCATCAATGTGAGTGCAAAACGTAAAAAGAAACCCAGATGAAGCCTCTCACGAGGCTAAACAGCTTTGAGTGAATGCAAGTGTATTTGTGTGTATGACCTGTGAGTGACTTTTTTTTTCAACTTTTCTGAAACTATGATTTACTTTCAGCCTGGAGAATGTAAAATTGGCATCATGCCTGGTCATATTCACAAAAAAGGAAGGATTGGTGAGTTTGTTTGTTACTTTCTTACAGATTAAAACAAAAAATTATTTGCCTTAAACCCTCAAAACTCACAAAGAATTTGTGACCTTTGCAAATCAAGTTTATTTTCATTAAATTGACATGAGTAGAATTTACCAGGGAAGTTTTGTAGTCTTATCAATTCTGTATCCTGAGTATAATAAGTTTATTTGAGAAGCCATTACAGTTCTACAGAATCAGTGAAGACTTTGGTGGTGGGAGTTTAAATATTTTTTTCCTGCACAGCATTCTGTGTATTCTTCCATGTGTTTGCATGTATCAGCAGTTAATTTCATTAACTATTATAACTTAGTTACTGCTAAGTAGTATTCTACTGTACAATTATACCACGATTTGT